GAGTTGATTGTTGAACCGTGTTGCGAACAGGTTGACCATCGGACGACCCAAACGTTCGCACAGCCACTGAAACACTACTGGGTTCAGCATCCACTCTGTTGGGCTCGGATCCTGAGGCCTCGATAGAGCGTCGGCCAGTACGTTCCGCACACCTGGGATGTGACGGGCGCGTATCTGGCAAGGGACACTGTCCACCAGAGCATAAAACTCGAACGTGAGATCGAGTAGAGAGTGACTGTGGGTTCCCCCCAGTTTGTTCACATAGGACACTACCGTCGTGTTGTCGGTTGCCAGCATGAGCCGGGCGTCGACGAGACGATGCTTCCAGTGATTGACTGCGTTGATCACTGCCTTGAACTCGAGACAATTGATGTGAAGACCTAGTTCGTCTACGCTACACCAACCCGAGCTCACCTCCCCCTCTAGATGGGCGCCCCAGCCCACTAGAGAGGCGTCTGTATACAGGTTCAACGTGGCCCGGTAGGGCCGCATAGAGACTCCTGATAAGACATTGTAAGGGACCGTCCACCACTCCAGATGCGGTCAGAGCCGATACGGGTGGGCGACGGTCGCACTGTTCTCCTCCTGTGCTAACAACTGGATTAAAAACCGTTGCAGCGGGTGGAGTTGGAGACGACCCCGTTCGGTGCAGTCCTGGGCTGCCACAAGTAACCCTAACAGCTGTTCCCAAAAGTAAACAGTCTGTTGCACCGCTAAGACTTTGGCAATCATCGCCTGAATCTTGTGCCACCGGTCTGAGAGGCGATGGGTCACCGTGTTGAACCGACCTCCGATGAACTGCAAGTTCTGAGAGGGGTTAACTCGCTCTTGGGGAGATTGACAATCCACCCCAATTGCTCCAAGAGCCGACGTGCGAAATCGAGCTGCCGAGACAGCATGTCTGTCATTCGATTTGCTACTAGCGAGTCGTCCAGGTACGCGAAGTAACAAACATCCCTCCGGTGGAGAACAGCCAGGGAGCGGATGAAAGACCGAATGGGAGTACAACCCATTCGTAGTGCCTGCCTTGAAAGACAACCTGAGATACTTGTGATGATCCGAGTGAATTGGAACATGCAGATAAGCATCCTTCTGGTCGATCGAAGCCAGCCAGTCGGCCGGCATGATCAGAGCTTTCAGGTCTGCCAAGCTCAACATTCTGAACTTGGGCGGCTTGTGCAGGAGTTCGACACTGTCTTTCTTGGGAACGAGAAATATCCTGGAGTAAAAACCCCGGTGTTATTTCTGGTAGAGCTAACTCCCGAACTGCCCTCTTCTCCACCAACCTGCCGATGGCATCGGCGAGGATGGGAAGATCGGTTTCCAAATAGAAACCTGCCGACGGGGCAACGGTGAGCGGCGGATTCACTTTGAGATCGAGCCGATAGCCGTATCGAATCGTGTTGACCACCCACGGGTCGTCGAACACTTGTTCCCAATTCTCCCAGTAAGTCTGGAGTCTGGCTCCCACTGGGGAAGGAGAGGGGGGCCTGACAGGCTGCGGCAGGCGCAACTGTCCAGGGCAAAGTGACTCGGGTTCGCCTACGGGCCAACCGGAGTTGGCGCTGTCAGCATACGAACCCCTCCAATGAGAGTCACCTGGAGGGGGCCCTTGCCGTTCTTAGACGACTTGGGCTTCCCCCAGTTCCCCTTCTTCCCGCGAAAGGGCTGCTGATGGCCCTTACCGGAGCCCTCAGGGCGGGTGCTTCTTCCCGGAGGAAGAAGAACCCGACCCCTTAGGCCTGCCGGCCGCAGCATCCTGGGGCGCACTCCGCTTAGGAGCAGCACCCAGGCGCCTATGCAAGGACCCCACAAGATCCAGTGTGTGCCGAGAGGCCTCGGCAGACACAGCGGCCTGTTGTTCTTTCTGAACCCCAGGGATCTTGTTTTTAAACAGGGACCGAGCAGACCAAGGCTGCGAAAGGAGCACCTCCTGATTAGCAGCGTCCAACCCTGAGGCAACCAGATATGACTGGCGCCGGAGAAAATGGCACGTGCCGGAAATAAAGGCCGAAGCCCCGGCAACGTACTCCAGGGAAGCATTTAAACCAATCAGGCAGTTATAAATGCAGCAAGGTTGATGCCGGGAAAGCTTTGTCGGACGACTCGTCGTACACCTCGGAGGAACCCACGGAGCCGTGGATTCCCCGCGGTATCGGCAGGGGCTTGGGCATGTCCTCGAAGAGGTCATAAACCATGGCCATGCGGTCCTTAACGGACAGCGGGAGCAACCGTTCGGGGGAAGGACCGGTGACCACGGCAGCCGCAGCCGTACCGGTGGACCCCGCGTCCGAACCCGCGGCCACCGAAGAGGCCGGGGACGGAACAGCTGGCGGCCTTATCTCAGGATAGGCCACAAGTTGGAGTCCACAAGTTTAGATAACAATGCGGCGACGGAATCCCCGGACAGCCCGAGGGCTGCCAAGGGATCCGCCGCAGCCGAGGAGGTGGTACCTGCACCACAGGGGTGGAGACGGACTGGACGTACAGTCGGTAGCGCTCAAACTCCGCAGGCCCCAGACCTTCGCACAGGGTGCACCGGGTGTCCCCGCAAGGAACCCTGCACCGCGGGCAACGATCGTGGGGATCCCGGGACGACAAGAATTTGCGGCACACCCCGCAACTCCGAGGAGCAGGGGTAGAGGGGGTTGAAACCAGGGACATTTCCATGTCAGACATTTTTTGATTCTGTGAACAAAGAGCAAAACATGGTTACAACCCACGCACCACAATGATTCACAAACGAGCATTTTCACAAGAAAAAAATAAACAAACAATGTGAACATATAACATACACATATAACATATAGACAAATAAGTGATGTTAACCCCTAAAACATACAAGAACAGGGGAAACGTAAAACACAACGTGCATATGCGAACCCCGCAAGTATAGAGAAAAAAGGGCGGGAAAATTTTTCCGTTTGGCGGGGAAATTATATCAAAGCGTAGCTATCGCAACGCCCCATAAAAGCACAGTTTATTAGAGAATAAACTATAATAAATATCACCGAATATTCGAGGAACACTTCAGCAGTAGGATACACGTCTTGCTAACGCAAGCGAAGGAGACAAGAGTGAAGGGTGTCACATGGCAGCTAGGTGGCTACGCACGTGCTGCATGAGGTAATTGAGATCTCTGTGGTAGATTTCGCTATAGCAGCAGTTGTGGGAGACAACAGCCTCGGTATAACAGTGGTAACGTATTACTTAATGTAATAAAACTCTCTCATGGTAGAATATGAATTTATTTTACTGCTGATTTAACTTAAAAAACAATATAGCACTAGTTAGCACTATTTAAATTTTCAATGTTTTCCCCCATCTCAGATAACATTATCAGCTGATCACCAAGATCATGTAACACCGGAAATACCAGTCAACAAATCTGAGGTGAGGTGAAATGGGGTTTAACGTCGCGTCCAAGATCATTGCACTTATATAGCGACGTGCATGTACGTGTGTGTGTGTTTGTGTGGCTGCTTGTACTAGTCCGGACTGATGCCAATTTATAGTGCTAGCTCACTGAGATACCATGCTGCAGCTTAACATGAATACCCCACTCAGACACAGTATACTGACTCCGAGCCGACCAGTCCTTGTTTTAGCCCCTTAATGCTGAGCGCCAGACAGGGTAACAAGAAGTTCCATCTTTTAACGTCTTTTGGTATGACGCGGCCGGGGATCGAACCCCAGACCTTCTGCTCTCCAGGCGGACGCTCTACCACTTGACCTAGGTCAACAAATCTGAACTGAAGTACGCAAATTAATCCTATTATTATAATATCTGGTTAAAAAGACCTGTTCATTGTTTATCTGGACTAATGTTTGCAATATATTTTATTAATTCAAAATTTCATTCAATAACTAAAATAATGTTTACAATAATTTTCGCTGAAATCGTATGCGAAATGATGGGTAGATCGCACAACTCACTGTTAATTGCAGCAACCAAGGTCAGATTACCGCTTTTGACACCTTGAAACGAACTTAAGTTGCAAGAGAATTGATACACATATCATAAATGCTGTACCATGACCCGCTAAAGGTCATATTTGAGGCAGTTTGAATATTAAATGTCTTTAATGTATTTCGCAAAAAAAGATCCTGCATACCACCTGTACCAAAGTGTTACGCTTATGGTTCTTATAATTTTAAGTAAATATAGTGGCAGCTGCAACTATAAAAACATGATTGGAATATATTTTTCCTGACAAAATAATAATTTCAGACACAATTTCTTCCGACCATTGCATCAAAATTCTTTGAAGTTGTATCATTGGGTACCTTTAAACTAAATCACCGGTAGATTGGGAGGAAACTTGTGCACAGCTGATTTGCTACGGTAATCTTAATCTCTGCATATAAAACAATGCCTTGGAGAGCAGGAAATACATTCTATATGGTAAATCTTCAAGTCTCGTGATGTTTTATATCAAATTTCATACTTTTATTGACTAAGTTTGCTATACCTGTTTATTCACCTGAATTTGCTGAAGGGATACATTGTGGGTTTTTTGAAAGCGCATATTAATACTCGATAAATGTATTTTTACACTATGAATAATAAATCACTTTTATTTTAATCTTTTTTTAAACTCTGAAACATGCAACGTAGATCGTGTTAGGTAGGCAGAGCATGTGTACTGTTTGTTGGTCATCTATCACCTACGACTCGACCCTCATTAAACCGCTGATCATCTGTAATGCTCATCAATTATTTGGACCCTGAAGGTAGCGTTGTAACGAGGGATCACTGTATTGTGCACTATTCAATCAGATTACATTTTCAACTTTTACTAAAGACAACACTAAAGTGCTACAAAATAAAACAAGTATGTACACTATTGAAACTATCGATATTCGACACTTAAATTGATACTATCGAATGCAAAACATGACTCCCATCGATAAATTGATATTGGGTCACTCACAATTGCACTACATCGATAGTCCGATGTATTGTTACACCCCTGGAGGAGACACTTAGAGTTGCTTACCTTCCTCTTCTTGTCCTCCTCGGCATACTTCTCTGCATTGCGCACCATGTTCTCAATGTCCTCCTTCGACAGACCTCCTGATGACTGGATCACAACTACATAAACAACAGGTTACCATGGTTACAACATCACTTCACAGCATAAGCATGAAACTTAAATAGCTGAGCTGAAATGACGCACTAGCTCACAGCAATATTAAACTAAACATTACTTTTCATTTTTGCGTCAATGCATAAACAATGTATCACAAACTGTTTTCACAGTTACAAACTTACAAGTTCACAAACTGATCACAGCTTGATCACTTTCCATTATACCATCATGTTAGTTCAAATAACTATGACCAGAACCACACAAGGATCTGACCAACTCTCAAGAACTCTCTCAGCATGGAAAACAACCAGAGACCCAGAACAGATCAACATGGCTGCCTCCATTACTGAGATTCCTCTGCCACAGATGTAACGCAAGGTCATACATGGCAAGTACCACCTGCTGACTATCTGTGGTGATGCTGTTTAAAACAGAAATTGTACAAAGTATTGAGCACAATACTGTATTAGGAGCCTCACATTCACCTTCAAATTGATGCAAGCTATTTAATTCAATAACTTGTTCTTATCACTGAAACAATGCTGATGCCATCATCTAAAATACACACACACAAACACACTGTTTTACACGATTTGAAACTAGCAATTACCCAAGTCAGAGAAAGACATGCCTTGACTGCAGTTTTAACATGTATCAACTGTTCACTAACATGTCTAATGACTGAAATCATTCATGGATTAACAAGTTGAGAAATCAAGGACTCTGGTTACATAAAACCACTGCTTAATTCTGCCCAATTGGTAGTTGTATGAATTAACTAAAATCATTCAAATTATACTCATGAATATATACATGTTAAAAACAAGCAAAGATCAACATGATCAAGTTCTTTTGAACCATGAATCAGTGAAACAGGTGCCTGCGATGAGAACCCAATCAGTTTGTAACTTCACCAACACCCCGTGAAGATGGCAAACACGGCACCAGTGCAGGAGGAAAGAAGGTCCTCTGAGTGACAAAGTATCCACCACAACAGGTGTAAAACTTGTGAACCATTCTGCCACAGCAAGCTCTCATTATATGATGCTGAAATATTTGTGAGTTCAAATAACTATGACCAGAACCACACAAGGATCTGACCAACTCTCAAGAACTCTCACAGCATGGAAAACAACCAGAGACCCAGAACAGATCAACATGGCTGCCTCCATTACTGAGATTCCTCTGCCACAGATGTAACGCAAGGTCATACATGGCAAGTACCACCTGCTGACTATCTGTGGTGGCATCATTCTCCCAGAAGACAAGATCTCACTTACTCTGCTGTTCTTTACCAGTACCCTTGTCCCGAGCAGAAACATTTACAATGCCGTTTGCATCAATGTCAAAAGTCACCTCGACCTGTGGCACCCCACGAGGAGCTGGTGGAATACCAACCTGAAATAGACATCACAATGACTCAACAGTCTAAATGTGGTTTATAAATTTCTCAGCAGGATAGCCTGCACCTGACAAGTTGACCTCAGAAAGCAATCCACATGTTCAAGATGCAAAAACATAGTCAGCCACCAAATAGTAGTGAGGTTGTACCAGGTCACATGACCTGTGAAGATCCGGGTTAAAACTGGTCTTTAACAACCCATGCTTGCCATACTAACGGGATGGGGTGGTCAATCTTGCTTACTTGGTTGATGCATGTCATTGTATCCCTATATCGTAGATGATTGCTCCTGATGTTAATTACAGGATTGTTCGGTCAAGACTATTATTTACAGACCACAAGCAAATAGCTGGAATATTGCCGAGTGTTGCAGCTGAACAACAAACAAGCAAACAAACAAGGCAGGCTGTCAAGCCATGTCCTATTCATACATAAGGCGCATTAATGTACTACTAATTCATTGACTGTGGCATAAATTCCACGTTCAGTTTATTTTATGACTACAAGGTACCCTGAACATCTATGCTACCAACCCAACCCAACCCCACCCCTGGAAGCCACCCCCTCACCAATGAGAACTGTCCCTGGAGGTACCTGTCTAACCTCACCCCCATTCCCCTTGAAGAACCTCACTCATCAGGAAGAAATCTGTCTTACCCTATCCCCATTTGCCTTGAAGCAGACCCCTCACCAAGGAGAACTGTCCATGTAGACACCTGTCTAACCCCACCCCCAATCTCCACACAGTACCCCCCTCACCAGAGAGAACTGGCCCAGGAGTTTGTTGTTGGCAGCCATCTCCCGCTCCCCTTGGTGCACCTTGATCTCTACCTGGGTTTGGCCGTCAGCAGCTGTCGAAAACACCTGCAACAAGCACAACAATCATACATCACACTGTTATGGTAATACTTATTTTTGTTTGTTTGTTGTTTTATACCGCTCTCAGCAATATTCCAGCTATATGATGGCGGTTTGTAAATAACAGACAATCCAGTGATTGATATCACGAACATCGATCCATGCAATTGGGATATGATGACATGCATCAACCATGTCAGCGGGCCTGACCACCCAATCCTGTCAGTCACCTCTTACGACAGCCATAGTCGCCTTTTACGGTAATAGTTAAAGACCACATCAAAAAGAGTAATGCTGAATGTGTTTGTTGGTTGCATATTTTATGAATGTTGTTCACACTCAATTTGAAGTAATGGCAAGTACAGAAACTGAAACAAGGCACAAGTTTACCTGACTCTTCTTTGTGGGAATGGTTGTATTTCTGTTGATGAGCTTGGTGAACACTCCTCCCAGAGTCTCGATACCGAGGGAGAGGGGAGTGACGTCCAACAGCAACACGTCTGTCACATCACCAGCCAACACTCCACCCTGGAAACACACATCACACACATTGTGGAACAATAGAGCACATCAATAATCTGTACAATATCACACAATGACCTACACATAGCAGTCACTTCAGTCACCTCTTACAACACGCTTGGAGTAATGAGACACAGGGCCCTCGCAAGGAGCAACAATTGTACACATGTGCGTATGTGTTGTGTGTATGTGTTGTGTGTATGTGTTGTGTGTATGTGTTGTGTGTATGTGATGTGTGTATGTGTTGTGTGTATGTGATGTGTGTATGTGTTGTGTGTATGTGTTGTGTGTATGTGTTGTGTGTATGTGATGTGTGTATGTGTTGTGTGTATGTGATGTGTGTATGTGTTGTGTGTATGTGTTGTGTGTATGTGATGTGTGTATGTGTTGTGTGTATGTGATGTGTGTATGTGATGTGTGTATGTGTTGTGTGTATGTGATGTGTGTATGTGTTGTGTATGTGTTGTGTTGTGTGTATGTGTTGTGTGTATGTGATGTGTGTATGTGATGTGTGTATGTGTTGTGTGTATGTGTTGTGTGTATGTGTTGTGTGTATGTGTTGTGTTGTGTGTATGTGTTGTGTGTATGTGTTGTGTTGTGTGTATGTGTTGTGTGTATGTGTTGTGTTGTGTGTATGTGTTGTGTGTATGTGTTGTGTGTATGTGTTGTGTTGTGTGTATGTGTTGTGTGTATGTGTTGTGTTGTGTGTATGTGTTGTGTTGTGTGTATGTGTTGTGTGTATGTGTTGTGTGTATTTGATGTGTATTATGTGTATTTGATGTGTGTATGTGTATGTGATGTGTGTAAGTGATGTGTGTATTTGATGTGTGTATTTGATGCGTGTATGTGTATGTGATGTGTGTATGTGATGTGTGTAAGTGATGTGTGTATGGGATGTGTGTATGTGTTGTGTGTATGTGTTGTGTGTATTTGATGTGTGTATGTGTTGTATTGTGTGTATGTTGTGTGTATGTGTTGTGTGTATGTGTTGTGTGTATGTGTTGTGTGTATGTGTTGTATTGTGTGTATGTTGTGTGTATGTGTTGTGTGTATGTGTTGTGTGTATGTGATGTGTGTATGTGTTGTGTGTATGTGTTGTGTGTATGTGTTGTGTGTATGTGTTGTGTGTATGTGTTGTATTGTGTGTATGTTGTGTGTATGTGTTGTGTGTATGTGTTGTGTGTATGTGATGTGTTGTGTGTATGTGTTGTGTGTATGTGTTGTGTTGTGTGTATGTGTTGTGTTGTGTGTATGTGTTGTGTGTATGTGTTGTGTGTATGTGTTGTGTGTATGTGTTGTGTGTATGTGTTGTGTGTATGTGTTGTATTGTGTGTATGTTGTGTGTATGTGTTGTGTGTATGTTGTGTGTATGTGTTGTGTGTATGTGTTGTGTGTATGTGTTGTATTGTGTGTATGTTGTGTGCATGTGTTGTGTGTATGTGTTGTGTGTATGTGTTGTGTGTATGTGTTGTGTGTATGTGTTGTATTGTGTGTATGTTGTGTGTATGTGTTGTGTGTATGTGTTGTGTGTATGTGTTGTATTGTGTGTATGTTGTGTGCATGTGTTGTGTGCATGTGTTGTGTGTATGTGTTGTGTTGTGTGTATGTGTTGTGTGTATGTGTTGTGTGTATGTGTTGTGTGTATGTGTTGTGTGTATGTGTTGTGTTGTGTGTATGTGTTGTGTGTATGTGTTGTGTGTATGTGTTGTGTTGTGTGTATGTGTTGTGTGTATGTGTTGTGTGTATGTGTTGTGTTATGTGTATGTGTTATGTGTATGTGTTGTGTGTATGTGTTGTGTTATGTTGTGTGTATGTGTTGTGTGTATGTGTTGTGTTATGTGTTGTGTGTATGTGTTGTGTGTATGTGTTGTGTGTATGTGTTGTGTTGTGTTATGTGTTGTGTTGTGTGTATGTGTTGTGTTGTGTTGTGTGTATGTGTTGTGTGTATGTGTTGTGTTATGTGTTGTGTTATGTGTTGTGTTATGTGTTGTGTTGTGTGTATGTGTTGTGTGTATGTGTTGTGTGTTGTGTGTATGTGTTGTGTGTATGTGTTGTGTGTATGTGTTGTGTTGTGTGTATGTGTTGTGTGTATGTGTTGTGTGTATGTGTTGTGTGTATGTGTTGTATTGTATGTATGTGTTGTGTATGTGTTGTGTGTATGTGTTGTGTGTATGTGTTGTGTTATGTTGTGTGTATGTGTTGTGTTATGTGTTGTGTTGTGTGTATGTGTTGTGTGTATGTGTTGTGTGTATGTGTTGTGTGTATGTGTTGTGTTATGTGTTGTGTTGTGTGTATGTGTTGTGTGTATGTGTTGTGTGTATGTGTTGTGTGTATGTGTTGTGTGTATGAATTTGATGTGTCCAAGTGATGCATGTGTATATCATGCGCACGTATGTGATGCATGTATATGTTCGGTGAGCAAGTGATATGTTGCATGTGTACATGGTGAGTATGTGCAGTGTGTATGTTTGCCATTATGTGTGAAAGACATCTTGCATCTTGAGGCGTGTGAGCCGGTGTCTCACCTGGATGGCTGCTCCAATAGCTACAGCTTCATCAGGGTTGACAGACTTGCTGGGAGTCCGCCCAAACAGCTCCTGGACAGTTTCTTGAACCTGGTGGGAAACAGTGACACGAGGTGAAATGGGGTTTAACATTCAAGATTCCTGCACTTACGTGGTGTGTGTGGCTGCTTGTACTAGACCAGACTAATGCCAGTTTTATAGTGCTAGACCACTGACATACCATGCCTCAGTTTAACATGAAGACCCCACTCAGACACAGTATACGGACCAGTCCTTGTATTATCCTATTAATGCTGCGTGCCAGGCAGGGTAACATCATGTACCATCTTTTAACATCTTTTGGTAAGCAAGGATAGAAACCAGGCAGATGCTCTATCCTCTACCACATGGAAAACAAAGAATGAATGAGTTAAATTTAACATCACATTCAGCCGCATAGTGGCTGTTGGAAACATTAACCCACCAAATTCAAGGCTTTTGCCGAGTGTTGAAAGGCTTTTTCTAGTTCTTATCGTCCCATAAATCAAAACGAAATGTCGGAACTGGTTGGGGTTGGAAGAGTCGTTTTACCAAGTCACATCTCTTTCAGCAAAACACCCACTGTCTTCACTTTTACTGTAGTACGTAACTGTAGCGTGGCAACAAAGTGAGCAGCACACACTCAAGGCATCACAGATTGAGATTCATGCAGATCACACTGCATGTTCTACTTCAATGCAAATTCCTCTATGTTGTTGAACGTTTTCAACATTTCCCATCTCTTATGCATTCAACAGTTGCTGCCATTTGCCTCATGTGTTGCATCCTTGCAGCATCATAAATTTCAGACAGTACTGAAAGAAGGGAGATAACTCTTTAAAATATGGTTCACTGAGTTGACAAAACCAAGATTGTTTCCTGAAAATATTTTGGTCTTTTCAAAGCAATCCAGGTCAGTGTGACTTTTGGAATACATCCTGCCTCAGACAGAATGTGATCATGTGACAGTGGATGGTCATGTGATACCAGTTCTTACTGTCACCTTCTCTACAACAACCATGGAGTACTCAGATCCCATTGTAAATCCCCAATCCGTTGTCTTGGAATGCCTCTAATGTCCAATATATTACCTTTATGAGACTTCCAATTTAAAGCTATGAAGAAGTGCAAGCAAGTCATTTCTCAGAGGCAGCTTCCAACCTAAGACGGGAAGATTAACTGACTTACTTTAGGCATTCTGGTCATGCCACCGACGAGAATGACCTCGCCGATATCCGACTTCTTCACTTCAGCATCCTGCAGTGCTTTCTGACAGGGCCCCACTGTTCTCTTGATGAGCCCATCTACTATGGTCTCAAACTTTGACCTGCTCAACTTCAGGTTCATGTGCTTAGGGCCACTGGAGTCCATCGTAAGGTATGGGAGGTTGATGTCCGTCTGAAGTAATATAGGTAAAGGACCATAAGGTTTTAAGTCACAAACTCGCACAAATACTAAACAATGTAAGTGTTGTAAAAGCATGAATAACAACAGAATGATTTTACTACCAGTACATGCTATTTTGTTTATGCTACTAGAAATACTTGTGAGTTCAAATAACTATGACCGGAGCCACACAAATATCTGACAAGCTCTCAAGAACACTCTCAACAAAAAACAACCAGAGAGCCAGAACTGATCAACATGGCTGCCTCCATTACTGAGATTCTGACTATCTGTGGCAACAAAGTCAAACCTATCAGTCTGTAGACATCAACATCACAGAACACAAGTAATAGACAAACTAGGATACCTTTGAAAAGAAGACACTTTACTGTAATTAAACAATCTCAAAATGTTAGGTTACTCAGGCCTCAAAGTTTACATTTTTACCAAGTAGCCGTATGGCTACAAATATTTTTTTTCCAGGTAGCCAGTGGTAAAATTAAGTAGTCAAGCCAATAGTGTAGGTAGCCAAAAGCATTTGAAATTATCTTTGATCAAATAACTATTATTGTATATTAGTGGAAAACTGTACTTGAGTTTTATTTGTGACTCGAACAATGATGCAATTTATGTTAGTAGATTATATAGGGATATCCTTGCGTTATCCAATAAACTATCGACTAAAATAAAATACTAATTACATTAATATTTATGTATTTCTGTTCATTGTTGACTTTAGGAAGAATTATTTGTGAGTACAATTAGTAGCAGACATGTTTATTTTTTAGTCTAAATATGTGTAGCAATAGAATTGAGAGGCCACAAGATATTTTTCAAGGTAGTCATTTGGCTACCTCTGAATTTTAGACAGTAGACAAATTGAAAATTAGGTCGCATTGGCGATCCTTTTAGTCACAACTTTGAGGCCTGTTATTTAGTCACTTGCACATCAATGAGGATATAGCATTTTTGTAAAAATTCCAAACACCACCAAACAAGAAAGGTTTTACTCTCAAGAGGACATTGCTGTTGGTGCAAAATGTATGGTACTTGACAACAAAACCGATTAAGAGGACATAAAACAGACGGACAAAGTCGTCATCAGAGAATGTGAAGAAAGGAAAAAGACACAAGGTTGACAAAGATAGAATATTGATCATAGTTTGCATTGATGTCAGCTTGAATGGATTAGATACTTTTGTATCAAGTCTCAGGATAAGTCTTTTGTAAGTCAACGCAAAACCCTGACAGTTTCATCACAGCCAGTAATGCATATCAGATTGCGCCTGCGAACCTAGTATGTATGTAGACTGCTTAATGGCAAACAAAAGTGCCTTTAATTCCCGCACCCATGCTCTCCAGGCGGATGCTCTACCACTAGGCCACGGAGGCAGTTGATTAGCCATAAAAAATAATGCATGAACAACAGCATGATGAATACACAACCAGTACATAGAGTATGAATCCGGCCCGTGAAGATCCGGGATAGAATAGGTCTTCAGCAACCCATTCTTGCTGTAAAAGGCAACTATGCTTGCCGTAAGAGGAGACTAACGGGATCTGGTGGTCAGAATCGCTGACTTGGTTGATGCATGTCATTGCATTTGCGTGGATCATTGCTCATGATGTCAATCACTGGACTGTCTGGTCCAGACTCGATTATTGACAGACCGCCATCATATAGCTGGAATATTGCTGAGTGCGGCGTTAAACAACTAACAACAAAAGTATGAATCCCATTTTGTTTATGCTACAAGAACATTTGTGAGTTCAAATAACTATGACCAGAACCACACAAGGATCTGACCAACTCTCAAGAACTCTCTCAGCATGGAAAACAACCAGAGACCCAGAACAGATCAACATGGCTGCCTCCATTACTGAGATTCCTCTGCCACAGATGTAACGCAAGGTCATACATGGCAAGTACCACCTGCTGACTATCTGTGGTGATGCTGTTTAAAACAGAAATTGTACAAAGTATTGAGCACAATACTGTATTAGGAGCCTCACATTCACCTTCAAATTGATGCATGCTATTTAATTCAATAACTTGTTCTAATCACTGAAACAATGCTGATGCCACATCTAAAATACACACACACAAACACACTGTTTTACACGATTTGAAACTAGCAATTACCCAAGTCAGAGAAAGACATGCCTTGACTGCAGTTTTAACATGTATCAACTGTTCACTAACATGTCTAATGACTGAAATGATTCATGGATTAACAAGTTGAGAAATCAAGGACTCTGGTTACATAAAACCACTGCTTAATTCTGCCCAATTGGTAGTTGTATGAATTAACTAAAATCATTCAAATTATACTCATGAATATATACATGTTAAAAACAAGCAAAGATCAAGTTCTTTTGAACCATGAATCAGAACCCAATGCGATTAGAACCCAATCAGTTTGTAACTTCACCAACACCCCGTGAAGATGGCAAACACGGCACCAGTGCAGGAGGAAAGAAGGTCCTCTGAGTGACAAAGTATCCACCACAACAGGTGTAAAACTTGTGAACCATTCTGCCACAGCAAGCTCTCATTATATGATGCTGAAATATTTGTGAGTTCAAATAACTATGACCAGAACCACACAAGGATCTGACCAACTCTCAAGAACTCTCTCAGCATGGAAAACAACCAGAGACCCAGAACAGATCAACATGGCTGCCTCCATTACTGAGATTCCTCTGCCACAGATGTAACGCAAGGTCATACATGGCAAGTACCACCTGCTGACTATCTGTGGTGGTTGAGACTCACAAACACCTTCATAAAATGATACACCTTCAGTTGCTGTTCAGTCCTTTTCAGGTATTAGGATAAACCTTAATGAAATCTAAAAGTTTCCCTAGAATTTTTCAATGACGATATTTCAGAGAAACTAAGCAAAATGTGCCTTCTACAACATCCTTCACCAGCTGTATAGAGTACGGTCCTCTGTGCCCTTTCACTGACCTGCAAGGAGGACGACAGCTCGATCTTGGCCTTTTCTGCCGCTTCTCTCAGCCTCTGCATTGCCATCGTGTCCTTGGTGATGTCTAGGCCTTGCTGCAATAAAAAGTCACCATCAAACCACGAGTCTTAATTTCAACATGATACTCAAGTTCTCAGGCTCTTTGAAAGTGTCTGTTTTCGTACTGATGCAAGCAGTGACTTGTCTTCATGTCACAGGAGGTCGTCCTGACCATGAAAGGCCCTTAACCTTTAGCCTGCTGAATTATTTCCACACTTCTTACCCCTGCCTGCTGGATTAATTTTAGCATAAGGCGCTCTAAAGAGGGTGGGTGATTTCAAACAGTCGGTGCCTCATTAAACAAGGGCCAATTGAAGAAATATTTTGCACATTTATTCCTGATAGAAAACTACACAATTCTATATAAAAATATCCTTGTGTTTTCAATCATACCAAGGTTAAGAACAAAGCGAACACAAAATTTGTAAATTTTCTTGAACTTACCTGAATTGCGTTATTGAAGGTGGTTTGCATTTCATGCTAGGAACCTTTTAATATCGTAACATTTGTACAAATTGATTTCAATAATCATATCTCCGATATCTTAATTTTAATTGAGTAAAAATTCGGGTTTTATAATCGGCATATATCAGCGCGATGGTAAATTATGAACCATTTCAGTGAATTTATTATCTAAACGTTAAACAGAAAAATAACTTAATTTTCGAGGTCATCATGTCGGTTGCAGAAATACGAATATTCGGGTTAATCTGACGTGTCATGTTATAAAATTTGCAGGAAATAATTAATGACTTATAAATATTCACCATTCCTAATTTCAAGCGTTTTGGTTGAATATTTACGATATACAAAAATAAACAACACCCGTGTCATGATGCTAGCAGACGTCCTAAAATCAAACATGGCGCGCTTCGCCCGACCTCCGCATAACTTATTGCTATTTTAATATCAACAAAGTTTACATTGCCTTTATAAATATAACTTGGCGAAAGTTGACGATCTTCTCAATCGAAGAATGTTTTATTCGTCATATTCCAATAAATATGACGAGAGAAAAATGAAAATAAAGATCGTGAATTCTGACAGCACTATTTCAATAAGTGCAAAGGTCACCGGATGTGATGTCACAGACAGGGGTAGTCTGCTGATAAGCTTTCGAAACAAAACAATTACATTAAATTTTGAAATAGTTCGCCTATCACATAGAGCAAAAATATAAGTCGATACACAGTATCAGTAATCACCACTAACATGAAATAAAAATGTGACTTTGACGATATAATTCGCGTATTAGTTAATCCGTTTGACCTTGCATGCTCCCGTGGCCCGGAAACGGTAGACGATAAATCAACATGCCACATGCAAGTTTCTCGGTATCTTTCATTTGAACTTCTGTTGATTTTTAAGAATCACCATTCAATGTTGTGAATATAAATGGGACATGATTCATATTTCTGCGATGTACACGCTGATAAGTTTCACTACAACAAGTGTATCCCACGTAATACGTCTATGGATATCGTCGATCAGCAAGATCACCCTCAACAACAGGTGCGCGAAAATGGGCTTGACAAAACGTGTTTCAAAATAACATCCCCGCGTTGCTGAATATGATAGGGTATATATAAGCAATAAAATGCTACGTACATATTTTCGGTGTTAGTTCCACATTACATTTAGGATAGTTTTCCTTTCGGGAATACATTCATAGATTCTAGCATGATTCTAGAACAGTTACACGAAGGATTTCTAAATTTATTCCAAAAATATGAAGACCACCATGATTGCGTATTGATGATAGATTTGTAATTGTTTAATTATTTACAGCTGTTTACAGGTTTTAAAATTTTAAGTTATATTTAATAGTTATTTTTCCCACAATGATGGTGTGTGGGGACAGTAAATATTAGTCTTTGCAGCAGCACAGTGTAACTGATCAAACTTCAGTTATTATCTTTAGTTTAAACATATTTATTCAACAGTTATTATCTTGCACTCTGAAAATCAACTATGTGAATAAGTAACTCTCTGATGTCATCATTTTAATTTTAGTATTCCATGAATAATGAATAAATCAGATCCTTAACATATACATACTAAACTCATATGGACATTAATCTTGTGCATTATGTGGTTTGTTTCCAAATAAAACAATTCTGAAATATAATTTAATAGGAATTAATTTAATTTAATTACAGTAACAGTACTTGTAACAGTACATGACATTTTTGTTTGTTTAATCACAAGAACCATGGTGGCACATGAGCTAGTAGGTTTGCCATAGGTTTCTTAGAAAATGCTATCTCAGTCTTCTGGTTGGAATGAAAAGAAACATGCCTGTGTACATGTTTACCCTTGCCAGATGTATTTTTTCCAGTCAGCCAATCCATTACTTTTGTTCACCTTATGTGGTCTATTTTATACATACAGGTACTGCTTCCAACCTGTTTTTTTCTTTGTATGCAATCACAGTATCACAACTTCCTCAGCTGGTGTGTATAAAAGTTCCCCTGTCATCATGAAAAAAGAATTATAAAGGAAAGTCATATTTTCATTCAAAAACATATCTGCCTTTCCTTGAATACTCTTTGTCTAAGTGCCAGAAATGTCAGTGTCATAAAAAAATTAAAGAAAGATTTTCATAAGGACTTTTCTTAGATAGACCTAGATCTAAGTCAAACCATGTGACTAGTTAGGTAGAATTATACTTATAAGCCTTCATTTCTGAGGTGTCCATATTTTTCACATTTTTAGGACTAAGCGTGATCCGTGGAGATCTGCCTGTTTTGTTATGTAAAACAAATTCTTGTCTTAAAAAATGAGAAAAGGAATCATTCAGACGAAATTTTGTATCCCATTGATTCACGAAAATCAGTTGAAATGTACAGTGGTGACTTTTGTACCCAAAATTTCTAGTAATTTGTTACTCAAATGGGTATGTGATTTTGTAGATCTACCTAGAATTATTTCAAAGATATACATTAATTTGGTGTCTTAAACTTAACATAATATCACTTTCCTATCAAAACAATTCATTCTAACTTAGGTTTAACCAACTTAACTGGCCTCTCCTTCAGTGACAAGACGTCAATTTTCTCTCAACACTAAACAATCAATTTCAAGGATCAGTCATAATCATATTTGGAACTTGCTGAAATATTTTATCATGTGTTCTGTTCATCTACATGAAAACATAAATATAATTATAGATCTATTGTCTTATTTTCTTAGGTACAAATTCACAAAGTATTTTGGGTACAATTTAATTTGTTTATGGTACAAAATCACATATATAGGAGCCTAGAATCTATATATATTTACACTAGCCTCGTTGTGTACCAAAATTTTTTCGGTTCAGAGGACGGGAGGTACTCAGAAAGTTTTCAACAACATCTTTAATATTTAAATTGTTCTTTTTGTAATGTTAGACCAATAACAATATTATGTTATTATTATGGCATATCAATACGTTGTAGCGCTCTTCGTTGCGTTCGTTTTTAGAAAATATTTTTAAAATTAAAATCATCGAGCGTGAAATCCATTACGGTTTCGGATTTAGACTTACACATTTGATGGCGACAATCACGAAGAAATATGAAACAAATAGGAGTGAAGACTGCTCTCCAGATCAATAAATAGTAAATAGTTGACGAAAAATAGTAAATTATGTATTTTCTTTTGAATTTGAATCTATTTCGGAATTTCTTTATGATAGCTTACAAACTTTTGCATATTTGCTTCCATGTGTCACATGCGGTACGTGCTTCCGGTTTCAGAAATGATAGCTAAAATTGCAAGTATTTTGATTATTTCTCGTAAAATGCATTATTTTGCTATTGAATGGTTTACCTAGAATGTATATCAGTTCAGATTTTGCGTATCATCCAATATTTGTCATTTTTCGCAGTGTTTGTTGACTTTGTTCAACTCAACAAATCGCGAGTTAGGCCACGCCCAAACATATCACTGACGTTTGTCGGCTTGGCAATGTGTCGGAAAGTTTATCAAACGAAATCATTTGCAAACTCTGTAAAAATTAAATTCTTTTTACAAAGATTTATACATACGTGTCAATAATTCTAGAAAATTAAGTTAGATGTAACAAAATGATTGTAATAGTCTAACGGGATAACTATGCATGTGGAGTTGTTTGTTTACCGCCGTTGCCATGATCGTACAAGTTCCATCCAAGCGATGATGTTACGATTCAGATTGTTTTTGTTTACAATTAGTTACACCGAAAGTTGCTAATTTTTATAAATAAAGGAACATGAGTGTTTTCCTTTCGTCAGCATACAAAAAATTATGATCGAATAGGAAAAATGATGAAATTGTAAAGAAAATATCGGACTGCATGCTGCTCAACGTGAAGTGCCAAAAGTCAACAATGGCCGTTTCTGGTAGTTGTGTCCCGAGAAGTTTGGCCGAAACATTTTTAACTCGCGATATTTTCTTTTTGAGGTAATTAATGACTGAACGTTTTGATATTGAGCAAGCTGAGCATTTATGCATGTCATACGTAATTTAAATGTTACGCAAAGCCTTCTTGGTAAATAGATATGGCGAGTTTTATTTTGGGGTGTTGTTATGCTATTTGCCTGTCGAATGGGTTCGACATCAGATGCACGGGGATGGACACCTCTGTCGAATGAGTTCAACGTTAGCATGCAGAGCTTTAACAGCATTGGTTGGACCATGTTTTCTTAACTGATAACTGCCCGGTTGATGTCTGATAGCTTTTAAGGTCAACCCTGTGGAATGCATTCCAATTATTTGCCAACTTTGCACCTCCTTCGTGGCATATTCATAGGGAACAAGCATATAGTTGACTAAGTCATCTATATCCCCCGCCCATTTTAACACATGGTCCCAAACAAGGTAACTGACCCAACATTTCTCTTAGCCCATGTCAAAATAGCTGCAATGGAAATTCTAAAATAAACACTTCTAAAACTCCTTATTATCAAATGGCACTAGTTCAGTATGCGCTTTATATATAGACATGCAATGTTTGGCAAGGAAATATTTAACAGTTTATTTGTTATACTACTTAAGTAAACCAATCCTATATTAAAACTTAAATCCAACTTGTTGTCATGGAAACATAAACAATAAAAAATTCTAAAAGTGCTATATATCAAAAGGCACCAGTTCAGTATGTGCCTGGTAGACATGCGAAGTTTTGTATGAAAGTATTTAACGGTTTTTGAGTTACACTCTGGAAACGAACACCACCCCTGTAGAACCTAAGTCCAACTTATTGCCATGGAAACGTGAAAAATAAAAATTCCTAAAATTCCTAAATAGCAAGAGGCACCAGTCCAGTATGTGTCTGGTAAACATGCACAATTTTTGTTGGAAAGTATTGAATGGGTTTTGAGTTATGCTCCGGAAAGAAACTCTACCGTATAGAACCTAAGTCCAACTTGTTGCAATGGAAACGTAAAAAATAAATATTTATAAAATTCCTAAATAGCAAAAGGCACCAGTTCAGTATGTGCCTAGTAGACATGCAAAGTTTTGTAAGAAAGGATTTAACAGTTTTTGAGTTATGCTCTGGAAACGAACACCACCCTTATAGAACCTAGTCCAACTTGTTGCCATGGAAACGTGAAAAATAAAAATTTATAAAATTCCTAAATAGCAAAAGGCACCAGTTCAGTATGTGCCTAGTAGACATGCAAAGTTTTTGTAAGAAAGGATTTAATGGTTTTTTAGTTATGCTCCGGAAACAAACACCACCCTTATAGAATTCCTAAATAGCAAGAGGCACCAGTCCAGTATGTGCGTGCACGCACGCACGCACACGGACGGAACCCATTTCTATATCCCTCACCAACTTCGTTGGGGCGGGGGATAAAAAAACAACATTTCAAGACATTTGGGATTTAGTTACCAATATTGATGCCTGATCACCAGATCACCACTAAATAATGAACGGTCACCTCCTTAGGATGGGCCACGATTCTTGTCATAATGACCACTGCCACCACAGCAGTTGAAATAATGGTGGCATGCTGGAATTCATTATCTCAAGCAGCACTTCACTTTTTTTAGGTCTATGTGTGAGAAGTGAATTAATAAGATTAATTAAAGAACAAATAGTACTTCTGCCACAAAACAAATTGCCACAAAAATAAAATCCAATGTTTGCTTACATCTTTCTTGAATTCCTTGGCTAGGAAAGAGACAAGATGATTGTCGAAATCCTCTCCACCCAGAAAAGTGTCGCCATTGGTGGACTTGACCTCGAATACCCCCTTCTGGATCTCCAGGATGGAGATATCAAACGTACCGCCACCCAGATCATACACAGCAATACTGCAACAAACCAAGCCAATATACTCATGTAGCAAGAGCAAGCAGCAATAGATGTCTGGACTGATGGAACCTACACCAGGACTTGGATGCATCACTCATACCCAACCAGGATCATGGCCAATAATAGAGAATTCAATAAATGCAAATTCTTTGTGAATAAAGCTTACAAAAATAAAAGAATGGGTTCTCAGACAATAACTTTTGAAAAAATAGAGCAAGTGGGCAGTGTTGCTGGGGGGGTCCCGCTTGTTCAAACTGGTATGTAACCAAAGGCACAGTTGCGTACTATGAACCTGGAAAAGGGCCTCCCAACATATTTTAAATTTTGAAAAAGGAAATATAAAATGAATCATGCAGTGGAATTTTAGGATGATGCAGACAGTGCCAGAGAACCAAGAATATTTTTATTTTTTTTAGCCTGAGCTGTGGGGGTTTTTTTTAGCATGGAAGGGAGGTGCATTGATATTTTTTACAGTAAAACTTCACATTTCAGCTGAAACAAAATCATCAGACGATAACAAATCCCCCGGCCCCTACAAATTCGAAAGAACATATCATCTGAACACTTGATCAGAAGATCAGTGCTCATGATGTCAATCATTGGATTGTCTGGTCCAGACTTGATATTTACAGACCGCAGTCATATAGCTGGAATATTGCTGAGTGCGGCATTAAACAAAAACACTTGATGAGAATCTTTCTATCTAATCTGGCTGTCAGTATACAACAGTTGTTATTGAGCAATCAAAACAATACCATGGAATTGGGATTTCGGAACTTAATATTTCTGTCAGGTACACCAACACCAAGAGAGTCAAAGGCAAACTTGTTGCCATGGATACAGGAAAAATTATATTTGTCTTGAATTCCTAAATAGCAAAATGCACCACTTCAGCCCCTGATTAATCCATGTATGAAGTTTGGATGAAAAAATCTTTAATAGTTCCTTAGTTCTGTTCCGGAAACAACACCTACAACAGCTAAATAAATTTGTTTCCATGGTATTCAAAAAGTAATTTTATTCTTTTGATAATGATAGTTTTTTATCATTACCATGGAGGATGGGAGTAAGACAAAGGCCTTCACTCACACTTTGTCAGCAGACTTGTCCATGCCGTAGGCCAGGGCAGCAGCAGTAGGTTCATTGATGACACGCAGCACATTCAGTCCTGCTATCTGACCAGCATCCTTCGTCGCCTGGACAATACAAAGTAATGTGATTCTTGGCATCAACCAAACACAAGTAAGACCGCAAGAGTGTAACTTGTTTGTTGCACTCAGCAATATTCCAGCTATATGACGGCAGTCTGTAAATAATCAAGACTGGACCAGACAATCCAGTGATTAACACCATGAGCATCGATCCACACAATTGGGATACGATGACATGCATCAACCAAGTCAGCGAGCTTCCTCTTACAACAAGCAAAGTCACCTTTTACGGCAAGCATGGGTTGCTGAAGACCTATTCTACCACGGATCTTCTCGGGTAGCAATAGTGTGGCTTGTAATATTCAAATAACATCTCCAGTACTGCTACAGGGTGAACACACTGCTCCAACAGAGGATTGCCTGTAATATGTTCCAATAAGCTAGGCGAGAAAAATTAATATTAAATGCCATCTCTACTTATTTGATAATTTAATAAACATGAAAATAAAAGAACAGATATGGCAGATATATTTGCTATATCAAGCTGTGAAAGTAAGCACTAGTGGGGCCAGTCACTTTGTGTGGCCCTGGTGCCGTCAGCTACTTCGGAAAAGTATACTGGAGAACAGTATGTAGGAAGAGCATAGGAGATTCACGCTAAGGCTGAACTGACCTGTCGCTGGGAATCATTGAAGTATGCAGGCACTGTGACAACAGCATTCTTCACATTTGTTCCTAGGTAGTTCTCTGGAAACAGACATCAGATACTTGGCACTACAATCCACACAGGAATTAAACACAATGAGAAATAGGTAAAATATGTATACCACAAAAGCATTATCGAAATTTTGAGGGGGGCAGGGGAGGTGCATTTTCTCAATTTGGGAGTCATCTATTTCTTCACACCAATACATGGTGTCATTCCAGAAATAACCAAGAATACATTGGAATCCATATACGTCACTATCCATTGCAGGCCACCTGGAGGACCTGGAGGTTAAGGTTAGAAGACAAAATTACTTTTTTAAATATTGAAATACTCAGTCTGAATTTCCTAAGGGAATTTACTGCATTGACGTGTATCAAAATCTTGTGCCAGTATTTCAGGAAATTATGGTGAATTTTGTAAAATGTAAAACCCTGCATAGTTTGTGATGACATGTCAGCATTCATGGGAGCTGGACAAAGTGTTGATCTGGTCATCAAAATCAAGTTATCACCAAAATCATACCAACTGACAGACAGACAGACGTCGACTATATACCCCCTTACCTCCTGCATTATATCCAAGGGTGATAACAAGTTAATCATATTTCCCTTGTAATATTATGCATATTCCATAATACAAGTCAGGTGCCAAATCTAACATATCTTTTGCTTCCCCAGCAGCCCACCTATACACTGGACTAAACGAATGTGTGCCAGGCTGTGTCACCTACCAGACGTCTCCTTCATCTTTATCAGCACAAAGGCTCCAACCTGGCTTGGGGAGTACACCTTGCCCTGGGCCTCCAGCCATGCATCCCCATTAGATGCCTTAGTGATCTTGTAGGAGACAGTTTGCCTGGAAATAACAACTACCCCACTCATCACTGACATCAGAAACACCGAAAGTTGTCCTGTACACTTCAGTAGTAGTACTGGCATGGAGTGACCACTTAAAGATGCTGCTATAGGATTCACTATTTGCCTCTGGGGAAGCCTACATATGTAACTTACAACATTAGGGTTATAACAGGACCACCAGATCAAAATGGATTATCTTACACAAGGCCAAGAGTCCCTTATTATCATCACTACTTCCTATAGTTCGTACATTTGTATCATGAACAAGGGAAATGATCAGCACAAATGCAAAGCTTTCATCATTGAAGCTTGTTGAATTACTTACATATCTTTCTGTACTTCTTTGTCTTCAAACCGCCGACCAATCAAACGTTTTGTTGCAGACAGAGTATTCTCAGCATTGGTTACAGCCTGACGTTTAGCTGGCATTCCAACCAATCTCTCCCCATCCTTGGTGAAAGCCACAACCGAGGGTGTTGTCCGGGCACCTTCTGAGTTCTCCAGCACCTTGGCTGCCTTGCCTTCCATGACAGCCACACAGGAGTTGGTGGTGCCCAGATCTATACCGATAACATGGCCACGCACCTTGTCCGACCTACAACACAAACACATCTACAGTAAACACCAATGAAAAGTTCATCTCAACATGCCTCTACCAACTGACTGGATAAAGACGAATTAGAAATAGTCCTCTTAACAACAAGTCAACAAATTACAATGGAGACTTGTGTGACCCTCTTGGCTGTGCCAAGGCTGTTGCTACCTACCTGTATCTCCTCTGTGTCCAACATTGCTTGCCTATGATGTTGTGAAGGGATGTCTGCAAAGAGAAGAGTGTAAATATAGCAGATAAGTGAATCTGTGGCATTCTTCTCCCAATTTCCCACCGCAAAACACTGAGACCATGAGGAGGAACATTACTACTTGTGACAAGGATCCTGTTTGTGCCTCAGGCTTGGCTTTATACAAGGAAATGCAGAATGCATCCATGTATATGATGTATGCAGTAATCAATTACTGTATTACACTGCAAGAAGTTGCAGACATAGGTTAGTCAAATTATGGTTTTCATGCTCATTGTAAACATGTTTCGACTCTAAAACAATTTAGCAGAGTATGGATAAACCAAAACATACAAAGTTTTATACATGTACATGATTAAACTTAAAACATGTCTCATTGTATCATGTGCACATGAGCATAATGGGGAGGGAGAAAGACAAAGAGGTTCTCTATCAGCTAAAAACATTAACTCAATGTGCAATGATGTGCAATTGTTAATGCTACTGCCAGTCCAACATTAGGGGAGCACAAAGGTCTGATTGCCGTGACCTAGTTTCTCTCGCAATTCCCACAATAAACATTCAGCAAGACAACAGAACTGTCACCACTTGTCCTTGTTGTCAAAGGTGTTTTCAAACACTCATTAAACAGTAAGATCAGTCCTGGGAAACAGTTGTTTCTCTGCTGATCATGCAGCAAACATTAACTACGCATTTGTGTTAATGTAGTCTACAGTTATAAACAGGCGCAATCATAATTGTTTAACCTGTAATTCTTTGTCCATTATCAAGCATGCCATTAACACTTCTCCAAACAAAACTGTAGTTATTGTCCATTATCAGAAAAACTTCAAGCTTATTCAAGCCTCTTTTGCACTGCAATGTCATTGCACCACTTTATTACCACAGGTTATGCTTCCAGGTGTTATCATTAATCAGTTGTGTGGGCAGTTCTCTAAACCATGCTGAATGAACATGCAAGTGTGTGCTTCCAATTATAGTCACCAAACAAGGTATTAGAATATTGTAAGCACTATTCCATATCAAACAAACAAGTCAAGAGGTCCTTGTCATCATCCAAGCGTTTAAAGTCAAACAGGAACCCTGCTACCCTAGATTCAAATACTAGAAATGTGTGAATGAGTTGGATCTAATCCCACATTGTTCCAGTTATATCACGGTGTTTCAACTTGATGTGGAAAGAAATTCTAAAGTGATGCAGACCTCATACGTTTACCATGTTTACTACTCTGGTGAAACCCACGAGCACGGGTATGGTGCTGACAAACATAGGAACATAACCAAGGGTAACAAGGATTTGAACAACTAAAGTGACAGTTTTCAAGTTTTGAATGACAACATAACAAAACATAAGGCCCACAACTAGTGCAGCATAAATTAGAGCATGCCATATGCTGTTTTAGTTGGTAATTAGCCACAGAAATACAGATGTCCTCGATCATCAATAATTGTCATAATCGCGATTTCGCTTTCTTTTTCTCTCTACTTGTCTTCTGTTGTCATACTTCCTATTCATCCTAAACCAGTGGCTTCAGTGTTCGAAATAGTGAGTGAGTGAGTTGGGTTTAACGCCGCTTTTAACAGTATTACAGTTATATCACGGCATGTCAGCTTAATGTGGGAGGAAAGCCCGAAGTGATGCGAGTCTCAGACGTTTACCACGAGCATGGGTATGGTGCTGACAAACCTGGAAACATAATCGGGGCGAACCTGGAGTCGAACCCACAATCATAGGTTTCTGGCGTGTCCAAGGGACGCAACTCTGCACAGCAAATCGCAGCGCCTTAGACGACTGGGCCACCCGTGCCCCCAAGTGTTCGAGTAGTACTCTGCACATTAACTCTTTCAACAATGCAGGCTGTCTAAATAATATCTTGTTGCATGAAACTATCTGTTATATCACACATTTTTCATAAAGTCAGAAAATATGTACATCATTTCAATTTATCATATTTTATCAATAGATTTACAATATGAACTATTTCTCGCAGTGTTATTGAAAAAGGATAATCTGGGACAACGGGTCCATATCGAACATGACAAAGAGCCATATAAAGACGTTTCAAGCAAATCGTAAATAAATCAACTAAAGCAATAAATAAAATAAACAAATACATTTCTAAAATTTGTCAAACTTAATCTAAGTTAATATTTCCATCTTGTGTCAGTGGCAATGTAAGTCAAATGACATTTCGGCATTTGTCGCCTTGACTTTCAGGCTTGCACACGATTTATATTGCAATAGTCTCTGCTTCAACTAATATATTTGGGCCTACATTTTTACCACTTGGCCTACAGTTTTTTAAGTGTGCTTGCCCTTAAAGCTCTCAGTTTATTCTGCTGAGTTTCAGATGGGTTGTAGTCAAAATGGCCACAAACCCATAGTCAAAACGGCCACACAAAAAGTCAAAATGTCCATGATAATAATAAATGACTATCCAATGTGAGCAAGATGTGGACAGGGTCTACATGATAGATGTTGTTATTACAATGTAATATCTTCCTGTAGAGTTCATGTGCTGTTTTAACCAATCTCATCAATTTACTTTGATCTCTGTACTGACCGGTATACAAATCTGTTGTAAAAACATGAATAAACTTTTATCCTAATGATAAAACATTTCAGTATTTCTATTTCAAACTAATCCAGTTGTGAGTTGTAAAACTCAGTGTCAACTTAATGCAAAGAAAACCTGCAGGATTGTGTACTGGCAATGGTTTGTGGATGGCACATTTAAGATTGTGTGTGATCCCTTTTACCAACTGTTATCCATGGGTTCCTCAAGGTGGGACAACAGCTGAAGATGGTTCCCATGTTTGTTGCTGTTGTGTCAAGCCACCAAAAGATAGATTACGTGGTTATCTTCAGGAACCTTCTTTGACTATTACCCAATCCACCATCAGTCAAGTCCATTCTTATGGTCTTTGAGGAAGCAGCCTAGAGCTCAATTGAGAGGGAGGCGACAAAACACCATCTAAGCTACTTAGCACGAACTTCAAACCCTGGGCCAAGGGTTTAATATGTGAAAGGGATGTGTGATATGTGCTGTGTAGTGCTGAATTAAGATCTGTGTGCATATGGTGTTATGAACTGTTATACAATGTATATAATACAATTAATGTGACACAATACTTGAGTTTGTCTTCTTTATTTTCTGTGTGGCCTTTTTCAGACAATTTGCAACAGCAAGAATACAGCAAGAATACAGCAACTTACATATCCACATTATGGCATAGAGGGAATTCATTGCTTGTACCTCCACTATGACTGTCCCGCTCATCGAGGTGAATCACTCACATTTTAACAGTTCGTAAACACACAGGCCGATAACAAGGCAATGGTAACACGACCCAGAATGAAATTTAGTTGTGATTTGCAGTAAGCATTTTAAAGCTAGTGTTTTCATTTTTTAATACAGTAAAGCTACCCTGACTGTCCATATAAACACAATAATAAGAGCTGCAAGGTATAACTTGACTCTTGGCGAGGTAGGAATAAATTTTACCTATCCCAAATAGCAGACAGGCAGACAATTTTGGACAATGGGTCCATGTGGTGCACTTCAGCAGATTTACAAGATATTTATAAATGTCACATCATTGCACATGGTCAAAATATTTTAGCCCATAAATTATTGATGGAGATTGCAATGTAATTAAATCAACCAATGACTTTCTGCACTTTGAGTTGTTTCTTACCAAACTGCAACTGAACCAACAATGACAATGATTTTTACAGTGACTGCTTAAATTTCTCGAAGAGTTTTGCATATGTGTCTCCACTGCAGGGGGGAACAATGTGGCGAATTAACATGAAACATTAAATATCATAGTAACATTGGCTTCAGTATGAAATATAAAATCGTGCCACACTGATTCAGGGTCGACAAAATTAGGTCTACTTGATATATGGGCGATCAATGGAATTCGTTTCTGTAAACACATACAAATATATTCAGAATGTCCCTGTAACCTACGACGTTATGACCAATTACAAAATTATTATGAATACTTTGAAATTCCTAGTTGACCATGGGCTAAGGATGAGGTCGTGCTATCTCTACATGTGGAGAGATTTAGGCCGATACTAATAATAGTCTGATGCAGAATATCCGACGCACAAATATTTATGTACAAACCTAAACAAAGAAAAAAACGTCTTACCCCAAAGAAAATAATATACATTTAATAACATCTGTAGCTCATAGTTTTAGGCGATACGCTTTGCTCACTGAGGAAATTCTCAAGTTCAACACGGGAGGAACATGACCTCTTGCATAACGCATTTTACTTACGTTTCGCGAGAAATCAGAGGCATTTCTGTGTTGCAAAAGGAAAGGTGAGTTTTTCAGGTATCTTGCTGACATCCGTGCAGTCGAAATCATTTTTAAACCTGTCATTTTAGAGGTATTGCCTGTGCCCTTCTAGCAGCACGTGTGTGATGTAAAAGAATACTAACTGCGCCTGCGCTAAAAGTATTAAACTTCCGCTAACATTCGATTATCCAGACCGTTCCGACTAAATAACGCAAGGCGTACTCTGCATAAACGAGTGTATGCACTTTCTAGAATGTTCTGCGACTCATGCCCTTTGTCGTATTTCATCAGACTTTAGTTCCTCGCAGATCCCAAATGATGCAAACATGAACACGGTTGCATTGGCCGTAGACGTTTATGTTACACAAAAACGAACGTAATTGATAGAGTCCTTACGTCGTTTCTAAATCCACACAAGACCAGTGAAGATCCGGGGTAGAATAGGTCTTCAGGCCGTGTTCAGCAACCCATGCTTGCCGTAAAAGCGACTATGCTTGTTGTAAGAGGCGACTAAAGGGATCGGGTGGTCAGGCTCGCTGACTTGGATGATACATGTCATTGTATCCCAATTGCGTGGATCGAAGCTCGTGATGTCAACCACTTGATTGTCTGGTCCAGACTCGATTATTTAAATACCGCCGTCATATAGCTGGAATATAAAACGACAAACAAATACTTCAACACAAAATATTTCTGATACTTGTCCATTTGATAAAAACAGAAACGTATACTATATTGCTGATATAATAATGTACATACATGATACATGCAGTGCAGGGATTGGGGGCAGGGGTCCACTCTCCCTCATAGATTTTCTTTTTTTATCAACACTTTTTCACAAGGATACTAAATTTGTGACACTGATGTCTTAATATTTTTAATGAAACACATCTTGCCAAACACTGCTCGACGTGGTCAGCAGATTAACACCTGACCACAGTTGCGCGCTGCAATTGTTTCATCGGATACGTTTGGTTGGAGTAATTCAGACAAATATGAACACAATTGATTATTAATTATCTTAATATATTGTAAAAAATAATGTTTACTTTAACATTCTTATCTGGAATTACCATTAGGTCCGTGTTTTGTTGGTTAACCAAACCATCTTCATGGTCTAATTGATATGCAGGAGCATATGTCATCAATGGCACTGATTCAGAATCTTCGCGAGAGACAATTAAAGTCATTTGTGGCTGATATATTTACTGTGTCTCATTATTGAAATAGTCTGCCTTGTTGAGAATGTGTCTTACACATCTTTCGACTAACTATATCTGAGGGTCCATACTAATACATGCGGAAGATGACCGGGGTTAATTGTAAAAAGTGAAAGGTATTAAAAGCGAAGAATTCAAATCCGATCTTTTGAATCCAGTACTACCGTGGTCCACCACGTGGTGTAAACGAACTGTCTCAGTTGTATAATGTAGCTCTCAGTCACTTATTGGACAAACATTTTCCAGTGAAATGACAGGAAGCTCCCTTTCCTGGAAAAAAGCAGGACCCCAGCTGAATTGCCTAAACATCACAAGAAGGCTTTGACAAATTCTTTCACGGAATATTTTGATAGCAAAATAGAAAAATAAGGGAAAGCCTATCCAGGTGACAGATTCAACTCAATCTCTACCTCTCCAAAACTGTGGAAGTCATTCTTAATTTTAACCTCTTAGTGAATGTGAGAAACCAATAAACGATACTCAGAGAAAACAACCTTCCTTTTGGACCCAGTGCATACAAGGCTACATCTTGAGTACATGGTTGTCTTAAAACCAACCTCAACCAAAAGGTGAAAGCCAGTTTACTGTTACATTTCCTGAGAACCTCGAGGAGGAAGCTATCAGAATCCTCTTGAAAAAGAATGACCTGGATACTAATTAAGAATCTAACAAAATACAGACCTGTGTAAAAAATTCATGCATTCTGAACGCACTGTCTGCAAATATATACTCTCAGTTGAGCTCCAATCTTCATACTGCGCGAACCACTACATAGAGACGGCACTGGTATGTGTTGTCAGTGAACTTAGATGCCAAATAAACAGGAGAGCCATTCTTCATTGACCCTCCTAGATCTGACAGCGACCTTTGATACCAAGGTACCCATTGAACAATCCGACATCAACTACAAGTGATATGAAACCAGTGCACCAATTTCACAATCCGACATCAACTACAAGTGATATGAAACCAGTGCACCCATTTGACAATCGGCCATCAACTACAAGTGATATGAAACCAGTCCACCCATTGGACAATCGGACATCAACTACAAGTGATATGAAACCAGTGTACCCATTGGACAATCGGACATCAACTACAAGTGATATGAAACCAGTGCACTCATTGGACAATCGGACATCAACTACAAGTGATATGAAACCAGTGCACCCCTTGGACAATCGGACATCAACTACAAGTGATATGAAACCAGTGTACCCATTTGACAATCGGACATCAACTACAAGTGATATGAAACCAGTGTACCCATTTGACAATCGCACATCATCTACAAGTGATATATAACCAGTGTACCCATTTGACAATCGGATATCAACTACAAGTGATATGAATCCAGTGCACCCATTGGACAATCGGACATCAACTACAAGTGATATGAAACCAGTGCACTCAATGGACAATCGGACATCAACTATAAGTGATATGAAACCAGAGAACTCATTGGACAATCGGACATCAACAACAAGTGATATGAAACCAGTGTACCCATTTCACAATCGGACAAAAACTAGAAGTGATATGAAACCAGTGCACTCATTGGACAATCAGACATCAACTACAAGTGATATGAAACCAGTGCACTCATTAGACAATCGGACATCAACTACGAGTGATATGAAACCAGTGCACCCATTGGACAATCGGACATCAACTACGAGTGATATGAAACCATTGCACCTATTGGACAATCAGACATGAACTATAAGTGATATGAAACCAGTGCACCAATTGGACAATCAGACATGAACTATAAGTGATATGAAACCAGTGCACCCATTGGACAATCAGACATGAACTATAAGTGATATGAAACCAGTGCACCCATTGGACAATCAAACATCAACTATAAGTGATATGAAACCAGTGCATCCATTGGACAATCAGACATCAACTACAAGTGATATGAAATCAGTGTTCCCATTGAACAATCAGACATCAACTACAAGTGATATGAAACCAGTGCACCCATTAGACAATCAGACATCAACTATAAGTGATATGAAACCAGTGCACCCATTAGACAATCAGACATCAACTACAAGTGATATGAAACCAGTGCACCCATTAGACAATCAGACATCAACTACAAGTGATATGAAACCAGTGCACCCATTGGACAATCAGACATCGAATATCAGTGATATGAAACCAGTGTACCCATTAGACAATCAGACATCAAATACAAGTGATATGAAACCAGTGTCCCTATTGAACAATCAGACATCAACTACAAGTGATATGAAACCAGTGCACCCATTGGACAATCAGACATCAACTATAAGTGATACGAAACCAGTGGACCCATTGGACAATCAGACATCAACTATAAGTGATATGAAACCAGTGCACCCATTGGACAATCAGACATCAACTATAAGTGATATGAAATCAGTGCACCCATTGGACAATCAGACATCAACTATAACTGATATGAAACAACTGCACCCATTGGACAATCAGACATCAACTATAAGTGATATGAAACCAGTGCATCCATTGAACAATCAGACATCAACTATAAGTGATATGAAACCAGTGCACCCATTGAACAATCGTACATCAACTAGAAGTGATATGAAACCAGTGTTCCCATTGTACAATCGGACATCAACTATAAGTGATATGAAACCAGTGCACCCATTCAACAATCATACATCAACTATAAGTCATATGAAACCAGTGTTCCCATTGAACAATGGGACATCAACTATAAGTGATATGAAACCAGTGTACCCATTAGACAATCAGACATCGACTACAAGTGATATGAAACCAGTGCACCCATTGGACAATCGGACATCAACTACAACTGATATGAAACCAGTGCACCCATTGAACAATCGGACATCAACTACAAGTGATATGAAACCAGTGCACCCATTGAACAATCAGACATCGACTACAAGTGATATGAAACCACTGTTCCCATTGAACAATCAGACATCAACTATAAGTGATATGAAACCAGTGCACCCATTGGACAATCAGACATCATTTATAAGTGATATGAAACCAGTGCACCCATTGGACAATCAGACATCAACTATAAGTGATATGAAACCAGTGCACCCATTGGACAATCAGACATCAACTATAAGTGATATGAAACCAGTGTACCCATTAGACAATCAGACATCGACTACAAGTGATATGAAACCAGTGCACCCATTGAACAATCAGATATCAACTATAAGTGATATGAAACCAGTGCACCCATTGGACAATCAGACATCATTTATAAGTGATATGAAACCAGTGCACCCATTGAACAATCATACATCAACTATAAGTGATATGAAACCAGTGTTCCCATTGAACAATCGGACATCAACTATAAGTGATATGAAACCAGTGTACCCATTAGACAATCAGACATCAACTACAAGTGATATGAAACCAGTGCTAGCCATTGGACAATCAGACATCAACTAAAACTGATATGAAACCAGTGCACCCATTGAACAATCGGACATCAACTACAAGTGATATGAAACCAGTGCACCCATTGAACAATCAGATATCAACTATAAGTGATATGAAACCAGTGCACCCATTGGACAATCAGACATCAACTACAAGTGATATGAAACCAGTGTTCCCATTGAACAATCAGACAGCAACTACAAGTGATATGAAACCAGTGTTCCCATTGAACAATCAGACATGAACTACAAGTGATATGAAACCAGTGTTCCCACTAAACAATCAGACATCAACTATAAGTGATATGAAACAAGTGCATCCATTGGACAATCAGACATCAACTATAAGTGATATGAAACCAGTGTACCCATTAGACAATCAGACATCGACTACAAGTGATATGAAACCACTGTTCCCATTGAACAATCAGACATCAACTATAAGTGATATGAAACAAGTGCACCCATTGGACAATCAGACATCAACTATAAGTGATA